TTGTCATAGACAGTGGAGAAGGAAATGGCAACCCACTCCAGGTTCTTGTCTGGGAAATCTCATGGACAGAGAAGCCTGGTGGGCTACAGTCCATGGGGTTGCAAAAGAGTCGAACACAACTTAGCGATTAAACAACAACACCATAAATATTTGACTATATATAAAAATCTACTGCTAATGACCAGCACCTCTTCCTTTTTGTTGTTTTTGTTGCTCTTTTTCCCGAGAACTTCTCTTTTACAGCACAAAGCACATAAGTTATTAAGGTTTTGTGGTTTTTCTTTGTTTTACAGCCAAGTCCTCCCTTAGCATTATTTTTTTCCAGTGCCTCAAATTTTCTGACCCCTTTAACATCACATGACCTTCTGTAGGCATTAACTTTCCTGCTCATGTCAATGAAATATCTTTCCCTGGAGGGAAAAAAAGTCCATGTGGATCTGGAAGAGTCCCTAATGTTTTGTCCTTCCATTTAAAGGAATTTCTATGCCACTTCATAAAACGAGGCAAACAATCTTCTACAACAAAACCTCGGAGATGGGTTTCATGTGAAATAAAAGGAGTTGATAATGAGCCAAAGAGCATCGTGTTGATAAACTGTCCCATATCTTAATGGAGATTAGCTTCCTATTTGACCTGGCTTTTGGAGCCCTTTCTTTAATCACGGTGTATTTGATATTCTCTTCCTTGAATGAACTCAGTTTCATCTATGGCTTTGGTCACAAGATTAAAGAATCACTAACTAACTGTTCCAAAAAAGCTGAGCAATTCTCTCTGACTGATCCCAGTTCCCAGCAGCGGCATCCAGCACTCGGCCTTCCACCATAGACACTTCAAGCCTGACATCTGCAGGTGGATAACTGAAATGCACACCGCCCAATCAGCTTTGGGTATTTCTTTTTAAAATTCCACCAAGCTCTGAAAATTCATACTATGTACAACAGGAAAACTGATATAATACTTTGGCCTTCCCTTTCATTTGATTAGTAGCTTTTTGAAAATAGCAACCACTTGATTAAAAAAGTATTTAAATTACATCGGCAACATACACTGGTTGCAGTTAGCCAGTCATTCTTTTTGCCTATTGAGAAAAATCTAAATGGTTTGGATGACTGTGATCCCTAAATCACGAAGGTTTAAAAAAAAATGCCCTGATCTGTCCCACCTTTTTCTAATCAAACAAATTACTCTTTGTCCAGTGACCAAATCCCCCTCTTTCACCAATGCATAGCCCATGTTGCCATGGCTACCTTGGATGTCTATTTACCACACAAGGGATCAAAGCCAGGAGACATCCACATACACACTTAGCCTTAAAACTTGCTGGAATGTCTGAGGATAACATGCAAGTACCAATTAAAGGATTTGCTCACAGCCTATGCAGTCCCTAGTCAAGCTAACTACAAGCACAGGTCCTAACGAATGGCAAGGAAAAGCCAACTCGAAAAAACTATTTCAACACGACCAATAAAGATCTTTAATCTGACAAAAAGCCACAATTATAAAATTCCCTGCCAAGGAGAGATAGTAGGGAATAAATGAAGATTCTAAGGTGTGTTGAAGATACTGGACCTCCAAATCATGTGCAAAAACTTAAAAACACTACGGTATCTGGTGAAAGGACCATGTCTCAGATACAGACTTTAAATTCTGGTTAGTTTCAGTACCTGTCTAGGTGATGTCATAAAAACTGCCTGATCTCAATGTTGGGACAAATGAGAACAGAAATGCCTTTTACACTTTTGTTGACTTGACTTTCAAATGAAGGAAACCATGAAACACACTTGGGACAATATATGCTGGTTATAGAATAAGAAAAGGGAAGATGTAAGAGAGTTGCCTTTAATCCCTCCACTCACTGGCCATTCTGAGCTGAGCCTGTGCAAGCTGTCTGTCTTTCCAGCTGGGTAGCATTCATTTCAGGCTTGTACCTACTTTGCCCTGTATCTCTCTACTTCACCTTTCTCTGCCTTCACCTCACCATTTTTTTTCAATGAGGATCAAATTGCCATCTCATTCTCTCCTGGGGATATGGCAGAGAATAAATAGATCGTGTTTATAAAGGACTCTCTAATCCTCAAAGGAAGGACTAATACAAAGACATTCATTATTAAACCAGATGTCCTTGGGCATTTTAATTCGAATCTGAAGAATGCAAAACTGATCAAACTGAGTCACAACTTCCTTGTAATAGCACTATCCCAGCCATGCAAGAATTTAGCAGCTGCTTAAAGCACTGGTTAATACCTCATTCTTTCCCTTCATGCTACAGGCAACTGCAATGATTTCAGTCCATGAGAAATAGAGTGAGCACTCACTTTCCTTGGAGTGTTTCCTAAAATCATCACGTATTAAAAACCCAAAATACATCTGGTAGGCAATGTTGTCTGAAGAACCTGATTTCTTCCCCCTAGCTTGAGAGACAATTATTTGGTCTTCTCATCAGCAGGGACAATGGGTGGTGTGCCATTTGAGGAGGGCATCTGCAGTTGTGGGAATGCCACAGGCAAACCTGTTGTTTTTGGCTGGGCTGCTTGAACAGGTGGCCGTGCCTTTCTTTTTGCCTGGGAACACAGCAAATTCCTGCTCAAGGAAGTTTCAGAAGTTTCCCATTTATGATCAGTGGGCAGAGAAAGGTTGGCACACGCTTTAAAAATGACTTCCTGATAGAGGCAAATCAGGTTCACCCTTTTCTTTTGGCCCAACTCAGCGTGACCTTAGGAATCCTTAAAGAACACTATCCCTCTGCACCGGTTCTTTTTCCTCCCACCTGGCAGAAGGCAAAAGCCCTCTGAATCTCATGGCCAGTCAGTCAGCTTTCTAATTCTGCTGGCCATTTCTGGCTACCTGCTGTGGCTAGTCAGGGGCGGGGGTCCCTTGGCTGCCACGCCATTGTTCAGAGTCTGTGCAGCCCTAGGGATGGATCACTCCTTGGGGAAGAGATTGGATTTCATTGCTGAGCTGGTGACACATGGATCTCTTTGATAGTTAACCCTGCAAGCCCAACTGGAGCTGTTGGGCTGAGATGAAAAATTCACGGGTGGGTGCGAGTTACCCCACCTGGACAAAAGTTTCCCCTGAAGAGAAACTCAAATCAAGTTGGGCTTAATCCAAGCCAGTAACTCCACCATCTCACTCCCCTCCACATTCCTGTTGCAGAACAACGTGTCACATTTCCAAGTCGCTGGAACTGCCTAGATTCTTCCGAAGAGCCCTGACTCCATCCCCCACTTCTCTCCCTGTCTGTCATCCCACCCCTAGCCCACCCTCTTTTCAAGTACCAAACAGGCCAAAAAATTACTGAACATACAGTTATGGGATGAAAGGCTGCCCATTCATTAAATGACTGAGTTACTCCATGTGTACCCTTAAAACTTCACGACTGGGCTGAAGTCCAATTTATGCGAATGCCACAAGGAGCAAGGCATGGGAAATCCTGTGCCAAGCTTCGGACAGCATGCCTCTGGCATCCACAGGGAGTGCCTCCATTCCAGAGGAATTGTGTGGGAACAGGGATTCTGAAAAGTAAGCTCAGATACCAAGAGGACAGGTGGCTCTGCAACGGATCAAATGACTTCTTTGTTCCAGCCCAGGACCTTTGTCAAAAATGTTTTGCGTTCCTTTTTCCTTTGGTTAAATCCTTTCTATTTAGGCTTCTTGCTTCTTTCCCTCATCCCATTGGGACTGCTCAACAGAAAAAGAAGGGGGGTCAAGCCGTGAGTTTGCAGAACTTGAAACTGATCAACGGCCCCAGTCTCCAGCAAGAGGAAGAGCAATTCACTGGAAACACACAAGTGCTTGCTGGTGTAAGCCTGCTTTTCTGCACTCACTGCCACTTGCCAAGCAAGCACACTTGCTTAGTGAGCAGGCAAACAGGCAAGAAGGCAGAGGGTCTTTTCAAAACCTGACCCTCTGCTTCACTGTCCCAGACTACAGGAAATGGAAAATTCTAACCCCCTCGCTCCAGCCCCGAAACAGAAAGTTTGCTCCTTATGCAACTCAACTTACCCCAAAGCGTGCAGGGTGGTGCGTGCCCAACCCACTTAGAAGAAAAAAGTGCAGTTTTCCTGGTGGTAACATGGATGCTAACTTTTCCCACCCACATTTACTTAGAGCTGGCAAAGTCAATATCACCCCTCTTGGAGTTCTCTGCCCTTGCCAGCCTACTAGCATGTTTTTCCAGTTTCTCTGCCCCTTAAATGAGTACAGATCTTGATATTGAAATACTGACATAAGACTCTTCTATAACTTTGGTTGAGTTATAAATCACACCCTTTTCTTGGCTTTGTACACTCACTTTTTGCTTTTCTTACAAGCAGAGCTATAAACCTCGACTTAGGCTGATAAGAAATTTTATCATCATGCCCCGCAGCCACGGAAGAAGCTGCTGGTTTAGAATTCTTTTCAAATACTCATGGAAGTAATCTCCAAGCCCTTTCTCAGCTCACTACTCTCAGGGCTGTCCTCTCCTGTCCAGAAGCAATAATAGTTTCACAACTGCTAGAACAGAAAAACACAATTTTCCTGGAAGGACTGTCTGTGCTCATTTCGGGCTGGTGCCACCTTCTCAGCCATAAACACAGTAAGTGCTCAGGATGGGGAGACAAAACGAGATAAGAGGCCCCCTTCAATTCTTTTACAGGATATTCCGTTGTCTTTATTCTCACCCAAAGCACAGGAAAGAGGCTCAGAGCTTCAGATAGATCCCGAACAATACCTTCCAGCCACCGCAAACTGGAAGTGATCTACATGTTCTACGAACCGCGTTTAAGCCTTTTACAATGACTGCCTGACGTCGCCAATCCCCATTAGAGGCAGAAGTGGGGGGAACCTCAGGAGATCTGCTTCATGGGTTACTTTAGGAAAAGGCAGTCCCGTTCTTCCGCCAAATGGATCCATTCGGCCAGGCATCTGCTCATCCGGCCAGCCCTCCGGAGTCACATCCCAGGGGTCCCACGTTGCGCCCTCCCTCTCCACCCGCCCCTGCAGCCCCCGGAGCTCACCTGCCTCATGTTTAGAGTTCCATCACCCATCCAGCAGGGAGCGAGCCGCCTGGAAGCCCACGCCGCGGTCTTCCGAGGGGAAACACCAAAGCCAGCAGAAGCCCGCAAGACAAAAGCAACTCAGCGAGTTCCCCAGGCAGCTGAGAACACGTTTTCTTCCCCTTTTTTCTTTGATCTGTTGCTACACGCACTCTGCCCAAGACAACGTCAAGTTTCTCAAGCTTCGCTTCCCAGCCTATGAAAAGTCGGGCGCAGGGAAGCGGGGACCGCCTGGCTCTTATTTCAAATCGGGTCTCAGAGACGTAGTAGGTGGCTGGAGGGGGCCCCGGAGGAGCCTCGCCAATCAGGAGAAGGGGGTGGGCCCTGGGAGCCGGAGGGGCTGCCTCCGCGAGGATTAGAGAGCTTTCAGGATTTCAATGACTGGAAGCAGCTGGAAACAGCCTCCCCAGCTCCCGGAGTAAAAGATGCGTTCTATTCTTATCTCACAGCTCCGGCTCGCCTCAAAGCTTAACTAGCTTAAGGCCTGGCCTTTTAAGAGCTCCCTAAAAGCACGCTAGCATTTGAGAGGGACAAAACGACTGCAAGCAGAAAAGTGCCACACGCAGGACCCAGGCGGATTTCGAAAAGGGTATCTTGCACCGAACACTGGGGAGGGAACCTAATTGTTACTCACACACCTGAACCGAAACCAGCACTCGGGGTGGGGGGGAGGATGTCATCCACCTCGCTTCCATATAGATGAACTGTGCATCTGTCTAAGAGACAGGTCTTAATGGGAAGGAGTACGCGAGTCTGCTGAAACACGTCAAATGAACGAGAATCTTTACCCAATAAGGGCCCAAGGCACAATTTTAAATAAAACTGTTACTAGAAAAATAGGCACTGAGGTTTGGTTAAGAAGAAAAAAAAAATTAAAGACGTGTGTCTACCTTTCCCTCAAGTTCACCTTCCCTACAAGGTTGATCTGGTGAACTTATTCGGAGACAAGCTGGACAGAATCTCAGTAAGAGAGCTGCCTTCTTACACACTTAAACCCTGAAGTTTTAAGTTTGTAATTTAAACTTAAATTCTTTGAAAAAGAATGTCCAAAGTTTGCTTTTCTGTATAAATAGGAACACATTTCAATTCTTAAGCAATATGGTCTCAAGGTCACTCTGTCTTTTGGATGGCCAAAAAAAAAAAAACAGCACAAGCTGAGCAAAGCTTTTTCCCAAAGAAGTGGCAAAAATTTTGTGAGAATGATTCAATAAAGAAAAAAACTGGTATCAGAGGGGAGAAAAAAAAAACGTAGCAAATCAATGAATGAGCAGCTTCCAGTGTATCATCTGTATGGATTCAGTAGTTGTCATCTCTGTCCAGTTCCAAGAAAACTTGGCGGCCCCATATCTGGACATGGAGGTCCATAACCCCATTCCAGCCCCCCCGCCTTAGCAAGGTAAGGAACCACCCAGTGATACAACTAGACTTCAGTCCTCTTCATGTATTTACTACAGAGCCCTTGATTATGACTTAGACCAGGGTTTCTGAGCCTCAACCCTATTGACATTTGGGGTCAGATCATTCTCCTTTGGGGGGCACTGTGCTGTGCCCTGGGGGATGTTGAGCAGTGTCTCCGGCCTCAGGCTACCAGATACAAGGAACCCTTCCACAGTCATGACAATCAGTAACGTCTCCAGGCAACACCAAGGGAGAAATCATGCCCAGTGGAGAATCACGGATGGACTGGCTTTGAAATACTCGTTTTCAAAAATAAAACAAAACAAAAATACTGGTTCTCCAACTTAACTGTCCAAGGAAACTTCTAGGGACATTGTGAAAAATGCCAGTCCCTGGGCCTGTGGCTCCAAGGGAATCTAATCAATAGGTTTGAGGAGGAGCCTGGGAATCTGCATTTTATCCCAGTGCAGAGGGCTCTGATTCACTTCAAAAAGCTACTGTACCTGTTCCTGCCCTAGGTGTACCCTGAGCCCCAGGACACAGGAAATTACCCAGGGCTGCTGCCGTTAAATATCACCAGAGTGAAGTCCCAAGGCATATCTATTTATCACCTTCAACAGAAGCTTCTCACGACTGCATTTGCCTTCTGCTGTCATCACCTCTGAGGAAAATATGAGTTGGGATTTCCTCTCACAGGCTCTGTGCCCTGTCAGTTTCATCCATCTTTCCTCTCCTTTGGCCCATTCCTACTGCATCCTACAAGGTCAGAATGTCACCACTATTTTGTGGCTTCCCCAAATGTCCCAACACAAAGTAATCCCTTCTCTTTACTCTGTAGTTTATAGACGCTCAGTGGTGTGCTGGTAAATGTTTAACACCCAGCTCTTTTAAAAAAAAAACAAAAAGCAGCCAAGATTTGTCATCGTTGTTTACTCGCTGAGTTGTGTGCTCTTTGCGACACCATGGACTGTAGCCGACCAGGCTCCTCTGTCCATGGGATACTCCAGGCAAGAATATTGGAGTGGGTTGCCATTTCCTTCTCTAGGGATTTTCCCGACCCAGGGATCGAACCCATGTCTCCTGCCTTGTAGGCATATTCTTTACCATCTGAGCCACCAGGGAACAGGCTTACACCCAGATTTTTTTTTTCTTTAAAATCCTAAAGTAAGTCATGGTGCACATATGTCTGATCTAAAATTTAGCTTTGAAAGGAGGTAGCCTATATGTTCACAAATTAGAGTTTATAATTATGTTGCATTTTTACTCTGTGGGACAGCACCATTTTTCACCTTGTCTGAATCCTTTGCCAATTTTCATAGTGTAAATGTTCCCTCCTTTTCCAAAGTAAGGACCCTAAACACAGAGGTTGGAGATGATACACTGAGCCAGGAGATGGTAAGCACCAGCTTGAGCAAACCATGCTACATCTCTGCTGTTTCACTTCCATGTGGCACTGTAATCATATCTTCGTCTGTCTGTATCTTCTACCAAACTAGAAAACTCTCAAGAGCAAGAATGATGTCCTATTCATCTTTGTAACCCCAGAAACTTTCACTGTACCCACACACCAACAGCACAGGAGGAAGTCAACCAATGTGTGTGGAAAGGGAATGAAATGCTTTCCTGAGCTATGGACATCAACGGGACTGCAGCCCTACCACATTACTAAAGGGAAAAGAATCTCTTGGCAAATTAAACTATTACAGTTACTTTTTTTTTTTACCGTAATTCAAAATCTGTCCTGCACTTATGAAAACAATAAGCATAATACCATCTTTTTTATTTATTTTTTGGTCATACCATGTGGCTTGCAGGACCTTGTTCCCTCTCCAGGGATTGCACTTGCAGCCATGACCATGAAAGCACTGAGTCCTAACCACTGGACCACGGGAAGTCCCCATAATGCCATCTTTATTCTAATACTCCCATGTCCAACCAAAGTCAGAGTGCAAGAGAAGAGATGAGCCTCCTAAAACAGAAGCTTAGCTTCATGGACATATTTGTGAGACAGCCTATTTTCTATATTGTTATATGAAGCCATCACACACTTCTGCATCTACATAAAAAACATCAGCTCTAGATGACAAGGTCTCTGGGAGAAATGTGTACGATAATCTCTGGGAGGTATATGAAAGGGCAGTTCCAACAGAGACTCAAACTCAGAGAACCGACTTAATGGACACTGCGGCGGGGGGTGAGGGGGGGAGGAATTGCAAGAATAGCATTGAAATATATACATGAACATATGTGAAACAGACAGCTCATGGGAAGTTGCTGTATAACACAGGAAGCTCAACCCAGTGCTCTGTGACAACCTAGTGGGGTTGGATGGGATGAGAGGGGGGAAGGAGGTTCAAGAGGGATGGGACATATGTATACCTATGGCTGATTCATGGTGATGTATGGCAGAAACCAAGACGACACTGTAAAGCAATTAAAAACAAAAACCAAAAAAAGGGCACTTCCACCAGTAAGAGATACCATGATGGGTTGCTAGTTCTCTCTCCCATCTTCTCATTATGCAGAAGGACAGGAATGCCTACAGGGGTGTTATTAACAAACACTTCTTGTGAGTATCTACTATGAGCCAAGCATTTTGCCAGGCACTTTACAAATATGCACCATTTCGGTGAAAAATTGAAAGCATTTCCCCTAAAATCAGGAACAAGACAAGGGTGCCCACTCTCACCACTACTATTCAACATAGTTTTGGAAGTGCTGGCCACAGCAATCAGGGCAGAAAAAGAAGTAAAAGGAATCCAGATAGGAAAAGAAGAAGTGAAACTCTCTCTGTTTGCAGATGACATGATCCTCTACATAGAAAACCCTAAAGACTCTACCAGAAAATTACTAGAGCTAATCAACGAATACAGTAAAGTTGCAGGATATAAAATTAACACACAGAAATC